TATCAGATCTTTAATCTGCCATCTTGACTTTAAGCTAAGGTACTGAAACTGACTCAAATGACAACAAAGGAAATGGGTCGACTTCCTTCAGCCATGCAGCAGATCGACTCTGGGGAGCTTCTCTAATAACCTTTGTATCTTAACTTACAGAAGCAACAAGAAGTTATGAAAACCGTTTTAGTTTGTTCACAAGAAGTACAAATCAAACCGATTTGTACTAAATTAATTTTTTACAGTCAAAATAATTCTACCTGTTTTTATAAGTGAGGCTATTTTTTCTTGCAAATCCTTAAAGTGAAAGATCAATACGAGTTTGATGCCAACAGAGAATCTCAACGTGAATTTAAGGCCTGCATGTAGCTTAGCTTAGTTTAGCATCAGTTCAAGAGCATGGTAGCCATTTGAAGGAAACACAATGTATGTAAATATCCTTAAATATTGCATCTTCAATTTGTGTAGCAAATATATACGACAAACTTAAGTCAAGATTTTGAGCTCAAACCAAGTTAACCTAACCTTAAAACAAATTAATGAGTTTTGTAAACTGCTTGATCTTTCTTTCCCAATCACTTTAAAGAGCACATAATCATTTCTTTAAATGTTTTAGGGTTTTTTTTGCAGTCTTTATGCTCAATGTTTGTGTTTGAAAGGAACTGATTTCCCTTTCTCTTTATCTCTTTTTTTTTGTAGATTCGCAGAGCAGTGCTTCAGATCTTCTTCCCTGACAAGCCTTTCCACTGGGCCAGACATGTCCTCATTGCATTCTGTCTCATCTTTGTGGTCAACCTGCTCGTTATATGTGTCCCTTCAATCAAGGACATCTTTGGCGTCATCGGTACGTTCGCAATGTAGGGACAAGAAATCGGAGCCTCACTGCAGATGCTATACTGTGAACTCCACTCTAAATTTAATTAAGTTGGAAAGTAAAGGGTTACAGATTTTTTAGAGTTTACAGCTAATAAAAACATACAATTTTGTTCCTTAGAAATATAAAAATATAACATGAGGACAATAAAATAAAGAGATGGTGTCATGTCTAACTGTCCACAAGGAGGATAACTCACAGTTGTCATTGCTAAAGAAGCTAAAGAAAGTTGAATGGAAAGAAAAAGGATTTAGAATTTTTTTCAAGGTTTTCAGTTAGTGGTGAATTGTTGAGTTATGACATCAATTGGTGTTGCTCCACTGTGTTTTTTCACAGTGCAGCCAAAAGATTTAAAACACTTATAGTTCTGCTAAAAAGAAGCTTTGTGGAGGTTCTAATTTAAATTTGTACCTATCCACATTACCAAAAGTACCAATACCTTCCAGGATCTCAGTGGACTTTAAATTGGTCTGTAACAAAACCCTGCAGAGAGAGAATCTAGTAATCAAAACTGGTTAAAAAGAGAGCTTAAAATGAATCACTCTTGGTTTAGTGAATCTACATAACATATAAAATTCTCTCTTTTTGAATTGGAAAACTGATATAAGTTAATTTTTCAATGTTGTAAAACTTCATTGTCAGTGCTTTACTTATATTCTGCGGTCAAATTAACCATTTGCAATAAAAAATCCTTGTTGCTTTCCGTTCTTGCCTTGTGCAGGAGCCACATCGGCCCCCAGTCTCATTTTCATCCTACCTGCGATTTTCTACATCCGGATTGTTCCTGAAGACCAGGAGCCTTTGAAGTCAAAACCAAAGATTCAGGTAAGCATCTAAAGCTATGTTCACACATCAGGTCTTGATCCTTAATTCAGATTTTTTTTTTTTTTTTTTGCATGGTCAGTCATACTAACTAGAAAATTTATAAAGAAATTTAAAAGTGGCCTGCCAAAGCTTGCTTGTTGGTTGGATCCCAGCGTTCTGATGCTGAAATGCTTGAAAACAAATTACTACCACATGTGGAAGCAGCACAGATCAGATATGTATTTGGGTGAAAAGATTAGAATTAGGCCATTCAGACTGCGGTGAAAAAGATGTGTATAGGTCACATAAGGGCAAAAAAAAATAGATTTGGGCCGCATTTACCTGCTGTGTGAACGTAGGTTTAGTGAAACACTCACTGTGTTTTATGTTTGGTTTCCTACTTTTTAAAATCTAATTAACGGACACATGATATTCTCTTTATGTCTCCTTCAGGCTGCCTGCTTTGCAGCATTAGGATTCATCTTTATGATCATGAGCCTGTCATTTATAATCATCGACTGGAGTACCGGAAAGCCTGGAAGCGGAGGCGGCCACTAGCTTCGCGCTATTTATGCTGTGACTGAACAAAGGTACTGCAAACAGAATGTCAACCAAAACTCTCCCAGAAATTATCCCGTTCAGCTGAGATCCGGGCCAGAGCCTGGAGATTTTCAACGAAGGAAAAACAAATGCGCCGGCGTCAATATCTGGAAAATGTTTTGACGTGTGACAGCACAGAAAAATGTTCTGTTGAGGAGGAGGGACCACAGGATGGCACGACGTTTGTTCTGTCCGAGTCCGCCGCCCTGCCACGGCTCCAAGTTAGGGTGAAGATGGCAGCAAGAGGATGAATGAGAACAGCATGACTAAGTTGGAAATCCCATTTCAGTGTTTCATGGAATAGTTCAGTCACTGCCAACATCCCTCCCGTATACTTCCCTAATATTTCAAATTACATTTATTTACTGTTTCTCCAAACAAAACAATCGTTTTGATTAAATGTCCCTACATTTGTCTTGAAAAATATAAAGAACAATGGCTGCATTTTCACAGAGATTGTTATATTTGGCAAAGAAACAACTATCTATGAAGTGAAGTTCAACTAATGTGATATTATTTTTTATGTCTCTTGTTGTGAATGATGTAAAAAAAATTACTATTTTTCAGGCAGAGTCTGAGGTGACCAAATAATCCGGTGCAATATGCAGGATTTTGCTGCTGTTCAGACAATTTGCTGACAATCATGTGAGCCAAAATACAGAAAAAGGGTTTTGCACAAAGAACGTAATGTTTTTTTTATATATATAAATATATATTAGATTAGCTGCAGACCAAAGAGTGTATTTATGCAGTTATACTGGTGGAAAAGTTACCTCTTTTTAATTTATCAGGTGCAAAAGTAGAGCCTCAAAGCATCCGGTGTTGCAAAGCATGCTTCATCTCGTTCAGAAACGTTTCCATATGTTACCCATTGATAAGGTTAAAATAAAGGCTTTTCTGCGAAATTGGTCCAAAACATCTGTTACCTTTGTGAAGCAACCTGTTCATTTTCTGACTGGTTTTACTAACATATTACAATAAAAGTCTTTTGTTTCTACACGTGTGTCTTTTTAAATCCACATCTGCTCTGTTTTTTCTTTGAGAAAATCTCACAAAACTGTCTTCAAATAAAGTCATTTGCAAACATTGAGATTAGTCTGCAGTTATAGAAAATCAGATGATTTAGAAGCTTTTGGAATCATTGAGTTAAATTGACACATTTTAACACAAAACATTTCCTTTTTTTTATACCTCATAGCAAAATCAAATCAAATTTGGCAACATGTCAGGAAGAGAATCACAAACCTCCACAAGTCTGATAATACAGGGAAGGTGTTTTTGGTCAAGAGATGAACATATTATTATGTGTTTAGCTGTTAAATTGACCAAAAATACTTGCAGAAGCTGAAGAGAAGCTCTTTGTGCAAATGGCCGCCATTCTGTTAAGCTAATAAACATGTTGTGCTTCCTTATGCTTCAGAAGCAAAACGCCCTTTACCTGGTCTCTGACACATAAGTACAAAATAAAAATAAGTACAAAATGAAACATAAACATGTGTCGATACTGAAATAGCACATTTTGATCATGAAAATGTCCGAGAATGTCGCCGACTAGCATAAGCTAAAGCTAACGTTAGCCACAAAGTTTAAAGAAAGCAAAACTCACCTTCATATCTGTGAATGTACAACGAGGCGGACATCTTCAAACCTTTTTCCAGCTTACTTGTTGGGGCTTGATGTACCTCATTAACTGTTACCTTGGACAAGGCCTGCGAGCAGCTGGCCGGTAAATAACTGCCATTTTCAACAGACCGGAAGCGACGGAAGCTGGCGTGGACCTGAAGGCCGCACAGACAGGAAGAAGCTCCAACCAGTCTGAAATCAGCAGATTACTGTTTACAAATACATTCAAAGACAAAGACCTTTTTTTAAATAGACATTTATTAGAAAGTTCTTGGCCTCAGTGAGCATTGCTATAGTTAGAGGAAAATTTAGGAAGCTTGGAAGCCTAAAAAAACATACAAACTGTAGAGTACGGAGGTGGCAGCATCATTTTTTCCTGCAGGGGGTTCTGGTGAAGAAGAAAGTACACAATGTGCAACACAGTTAGACAAACAGGAAGTTAAAGCGTAGGCACAAGTGGGTTTTTCAAATTGTCAATGAGCCCAAGCCAACTGCTGAATTTACAACAAAGTATCCTAAATGGGAACAAGGTTAATTACTCAACTTGAACAAAGTTCTGAAAGTTTGCAGGCAAAGTTTAAATGAATTTGAACAAACCTGACTCAGTTACATGAGTTCTGTCAGAGGGAATCGGCCAAAACTGCAGCAAACAGCAGCTTCTTGAAGAATACCAAAAAAATTCACTCCAAATCATGCAGTTTATTGAAAGATAACTTTACAAATATTTAAGAAAATGTGTGCAAACTTTCCACTTTGTTAAACGCTGAAAACATCTCTCTAAAATATGGAAAGGTTTAGTTTGATTTATTGTCAGTGGAAAAAAAGTCTTCCCTTTTTATGCACTCTATGTTCAGCTGTTTGAGATAAAAAGTTTTTGTTTGCATGGCTGTAAAATTAACAGAAGAAGAGTACACACACACACACACACACACACACACACACACACACACACACACACACACACACACACACACACACACACACACACATTGCCTGCCTGTCTCTCTCTCTCTCTGAAAATGGAAGTAACAAGTTGATTTGTGCATCGACTGAGCGAGAGAAGAAAAGTGGGGGTTAGAGAAGTGTGGTTGTCCGTTTCCTGCTTTGAGCTGATCTGTGCACAGAACAGAGAAGAGAAACTTCCTTTCTGACAGTGCATTGTGAGGACATTTCTGTTTTTTTTTTTTATGTATTTCTATCAAACGCAGGAGATATGAATTTCAAATAAACTGGAGCATTTGTGAGAAGGACAATGAGCCGTGGGAAGAATAAAACGGAGAGCGTCTCGAGCTCCCTGCTGAGCCAACAGGAGAATGAGAAGCTGGAGGAGCTCCTGGGCAGAAGGTGTGCTGTAAGTTCACAACTAGCAATATACTGATATCGGATAATCTTCTTTCTGACCCAAGGCTTTCCTCAGGTTCAGTCTCTTCCTTTTGAAGAAGCTAAAGTCACATCCTGAAGTGAATCGCTAAATTAACGGTTACATATTTGAATCTGATTCTTGTAAGATCAGTTTTTTTACTTTTAGTTATTAGTTTCTGAAAAAAAAGGAAGAAAAAAAGGCATCAGGTGTTTATTTTTGCTAGGTTTTTCAGTAAAGGAGGTAAATACATGTTTTCTGACATTTGGTCATCAAGAAAGTGGGTAGCTGTAACAGGAAATGGTGGCTGAATCGATTCTTCCTCCTCTGTCAAAATTAGAAATGACTGTGTTTAGTCTCACAGCAGAGCAGAAGTTAGTCTGTTCTTCGTTCTTTTTAATCCACTAAAGTAAAGATTTGCTCTGGTGGATTTAAAAACCTGCAAAGCTTTAAAACAGCAGGTGCAACAGAGAATACAGAGCACTAGAAGAAAAACGTATCAGAGCAAATGAAAGCAGAGAAGGAAGTTAATCATCGTCACCAAACTGCAAATTTACATTTAAACGGCAATAAAATGCCTTAGCAAGTCATATCAGCTCTGAACTGTGTCCAATGCCTCTCTCTCTCTCTCTCTCTCTCTAAACATGTGTGTGTGTGTGTAGTCGATGGCCACAGCAGTGGCTCAGTTGTTCATGGCTCTGCCTCACAGCCCAGCCATGTGGAGTCTGCAGCACACTGGAGTGGTCTGCTTCGTCAAAGACAACCCTCAGCGCTCCTACTTCATACGCATGTTCGACCTGAAGGTCAGACAACAACCAAAAACCAACAATTAACGCTCACCTTTGTTTTCCACTAAGTTCTCCTTTTTAAACGTCACATATAGTTCACACGAATTACTAAAGTTGATTACTTTTACCAACTGTTCACTTTAGACCAACATTTAAAACAGAAAACTGTTTAGTTTATTAATTTGATAAACTAAACATAACACCAATATGTAGCTTTATACTGTTAATGTCGAAGCAAGAAACTCCTGTTAGTTTACAAATCTAGAACAAACTTAAACAGAACCATCTACTTAACCCAGAACAAGAACCAGACACGGAGAACAAACATTTAGCTTTTTACTAAATAGATATAAAACCAAACCCAGAACAACTGGAACCGAAATATAGTTTTATCGGAACAAGAATCCAAAGAAACCACTACTAGTTTATAACTTTTGGACTAATTATTCTTATTCTGAAACATGAGGAACCAATATACAATTTTATATATTTTCATTGTTGTCTTTCTTTTGGTTTTGGCTGTATTTTCTTCTAATTCATATGAAGCACTTTGAAACGCTTCGCAGCTGAAAATGTGCTTTATATTTAAAATATACCTGGCTTACCTAAGAGATGATTACAATCTTTTCTCCTCAGGCTGGTAGGCAAATTTGGGAGCAAGAGCTCTACAACCAGCTTGTTTACTCAACGCCGCTGCCGTACTTTCATACGTTTGCTGCAGATGTAAGACGTTCCCTGCACATTCTGCATTTATAAGTCAAGGTTTTCTGTACATTTCTTCTTAAGCTGTTTGATTCGATGTGCATTCGCAGGACTGTCAGGTTGGACTGAACTTTACAGACCAACAGGAAGCGGACGCCTTCCAAAGCACCATCATGGAGAAAATCAACCAAAGACACAACCGACAAGGTCAGCATGAACAACTGAGGGGCAAAAACATTTCTTGTAAAAATTAAACATTTAAGCTAAGGTTGACCTTTTTAGGAATTATTATTATTATTATTATTATTATTATTATTATTATTATTATTATTATTATTATTATTTTTAATCTGTTTTGTTGGTGTTACATTATCATACAGACAGTACAGACTTTTTTTTTTTTTTACTTGTCTATTCATTTATTTCTGCTTTTCTGTTTTAAATTTAACTCTGCATTCACGGCGCTGCTGTGACATCCTGGATGCTGTGATCCAAAATGGTGGCTTGTTTACAACCGACAGAGAAGAAACAGCGCCCCCCACCGAAGAATGGTAGGATATACCCCTGATAGGATGTTTAAAACGAAAACTTTATTTGAATCATGCATCAAACCTGTTATGTTTTCTTCTTTATATTGCTGCAGACAGAGGTTCCCTCCCTCCTGTCCCACCCGGTATGTATTTCCCATAATTCATAGCGCTTATTGAAACAACATTAAAAAAAATTGTGTTTTGATAACCCAGTTTTGACTTTTGTAACTTTCAGTGCCTAAATTTGTTTTGGAAGTTTCATAAAACAACAAGATGCACAAACTACATTCAGAAGTATTTACTTTAAATAAGAAAAAAAAATTAATTTGGTAAAAGAAAAAAAAGAATAATGAAAAATAATAACAGCCATAAACATTTAAAATGAAATAAAATAAAATTATATTATGGAGTGAATGTTCAGACTGAACGTTTATCTTTTCTCAAATGTCAGAATAATTAAATATAATTTCACAAGAGTTTTTGTCTTATTTAACTTCAAAGTTGAGAACATTCATTATGTTTTTGTAGCAAATTATATCTTATTATAATATTTTGGGCATTTGCTGAGTTTACTTAGTCAGGTTTGCGAGTCGTCTCGCAAACAGTAAAATTTTAATCATATGTCCGAAACATTTTTATTAGAATATATCAGTTGACTTTTTATTGTTTTCCAAGTTAATTAGTAGATAGTATGGCTGCATCTGAAATAATTGATAATAGTTTTTGTTTTTATCATTAAGATCCAGAGTTGGGTAGTAATCTATTTATAATTGCTGATTTAGTTTTGAGAAAAAAAAAACTTTTAGGAGTATTTTCACAACTCTGTGTGCTTTACTTTTAATCAACGAATTTTATTATGACTTATTTCTACTGTTACTTGAGTAATATTTCTGGATTCTCTACCTAATGATTGATAAGCAAAAAGCTTTTAACCAAAAATTCAGACACACACATGCAGTTTTTTGGCAACGTTTCATAAGTTTTATATTGAAAAATTTGGACGAAAAATATTTAGTTTTGCCTGATTTTGTAATTATTTAAATTAATTCTTTTCATTTTGGTCTTTAAAACATTTTCACATAATTTATGTTCTGTTGTGTCATTTTTAAATATCAATCGTTTGATGTTTTGATCACTTACTCAGTACTCTTTACTAAACCCACTATCACTTATAATTGTTACTGTGTCCATATTTGTTAATATTAATGCTTTTATTTCTCCCTACAGCAGCGTCTCCCAGCCCTTCATCTTTCCACATGGCCACAGTGGACATCCAGAACCCGGACATCCAGTCTTCGCGCTACCGCTCCATGCCTTCCCCCGCCATCCCCGCAGCTGTTTCCAGCAAAGGAAAGAAGAGCAAAAAGGACAAGAAAAAAGGTGCGAAGCTCTCCAAGGCGGACATAGGAGCACCAAGTGGATTTAAGTAAGGATTTGAGCTGCCAAAACGCATCCAGATGTCTCAAATTAATTTATTCTGGAATTCACAGATGGACTTGCATGTTCTTTTTTTTTTCTTTTTCTGACAGGCATGTAACGCATGTAGGATGGGACCCCAACAACCTGGACCCAGATCTGTCCAAGCTGTTCTCCCAGGCAGGCATTTCTATGTCTGACCTGAATGACGAGCGGACGTCCCAGCTGATCTATAACGTCATAGAGCAGTCAGGAGGCATCGAGGCCGTGAAAAGGGAGCTGAACCGAGGTCAGACTTTTTATTTCCACCTTTCTAATTAATCCCTCTGCTCCCAAAGCCTGAAACAAAAGCTACTAAAGCTACAGTAACTTTTATTAAAAATTTTTTTTTAATTTTTTTATGTATTTATTAAAACTGACACTATATTGTGACAGATAATCAGTGAAAAGATCCTCTAAATATTTATTATCTTTCAAAATCAACTCTATGCAGGTGGGGTTTTAGTCTAGATTTAAGGAACTCAGCGTTTCGGCTGCTTTGCAGTTTTCTGGAAGTTTGTTCATTTACATATGAAAAGTCAAATCAGAGAAACTGATCATTTTAAATCGTCTCTTCATTTTTCGCAGAGTTGTATTTTTTATTAACGTTACATCCTGCATTTATAACTGGGTTCATTTCTCCTGTGTTTACGTCACAGGTGATGTTCCTCCACCCCCTCCTTCCAACCGACAGGGGCCCCTGCCTCCTGTGCCGGGCCCCGGACCCCCGGCTCCTCCTCCCTCACGAGGTCGATCTGGCCCCCTGCCTCCCATCCCAGGCCAGGGGCAGCGCGGACCTCCTCCCCCTCAACCGCCTCCGACCCGCAGCGGCCCGCCACCTCCTCCTCCAACAAGCAGAGGAGGCCCACCTCCACCGCCTCAACCGGCCTGCTCTTTTGCCCCTCCGCCTCCTCCGACTTCACGGAGCATGCCACCTCCTCCGCCGCCATCCGGCCAGCCTCGCTCTATAGGTGTCCCTCCACCTCCTGTCCCATCTACACCCAGCAGGAGTGGTGGGGAAGGAGCACCACCGCCTCCGCCTCCTCCGCCTCCACCTCCTCCGGTTTCTGCTCCTTCAGATTTCCCTCCTCCTCCGAGGAGTGGTGGCGCGCCTCCACCACCTCCTCCTTCATCCTCCGGAGGAGGAGACGGCAGAGGCGCCCTGCTGGATCAGATCCGACTCGGAAAGAGTCTCAGAAAAGTAAAAAAATTAATCCTTCCTCATATTTTTTACACTTCGAATTAAATTTCCATCCATAAACAAACTTGAAGGGGACTGACTATGCTTCCTTGAACAGGTTTTGCATAAAATCATTCTTAGATAACGAGATTTTAGTCTGTTCAGTGCTCTGCTGCTTTCAGGATGAGACGTTTTCATGTCCCTTTAAATAATTTGCTGGCCTCGCCCCACAACTCAACGTTTACACTCACACGTGCAAACGGTTGCAAACGACGGACAATTATACCGTAAATGTCTGAAAAGCAGAAGTGGAGCCTCCTGTGCAATCAAAAAGAATGCAGCGAGTGGTTTCTGAGCAGTAATTCAACAACAAAACATATTTTCCAGCAGCCATTGTACAATGCATACAGTGGTTAAATCAGCTGACCACCTGGGTTGCTAGGTAACTAGGCTGGACTCTGCTGGTGTTGCTAGGCAACGGCGCAGTTCCCATACTTGTAACTTTATTTTATTTAATTTTTTTTAGTGCTTAGCCTGTTTTAGAAGTATTAGAAACAATTGCGACCCAAATGGAAATATAAAAATGTGCAAATATATGAATTTTGGATAATAAAACCTGTTGTGTGTTTTCTTTTTTGCAGGTAACAGAAAGCTCTGAGCCGCCGCCGCCTTCAACGCCAGACGAAGGAGAGGGCATCGTTGGTGCCCTCATGATGGTGATGCAGAAGAGGAGTAAAGTCATCCACTCTTCCGGTAAGCATCAGCTAACATTGTGAAGAAAACCGAGCCGAAACAAAACCAGAACTCACTCCTTCATGTGTGCGTTTGTTCGCTCCTGCAGATGAAAGTGAAGAGGACGCAGGATTTGACGATGATGACGACGACGAATGGGACGACTGATAAAACACCGGCTGCTGCAGATTCTGAATTTATTAGATATTAGTTTTAAGCTCAATAACTGTTACATGTGACGTTTCAAACTGGAAAACGACTCGTATTTATGGGAATACTGTTTTTGCATTTGTGCTGGAGTTAATAAAAACAAACGGTTCATTAAAAAGGCTGAACATTTCTTATTTAGAAGAAATGTTATAAGTTTAAGAATAAGTTTCAGCGTTGAGTTCTTTAGAAAATTAAAGTTTAAGGTGATCTTGCATTATCATGTAACTATAAAAATGACTTGAAAATGCTCTCAGAACAACAATATCATCGTTTATCGCAATAATTACTGGGACAATTTATCTTTGTTAATAATGTCTGACATCTCACCAAGACTTTAAAACAGTCACTTGATGCTGTCATGGCAAATGAACGATTTCTCATCTGTCAACACAAATATAATTATGCAGCAATGTTTATATCTGTAAAAAACAAGTAAAAATGTTAGAATTCTGACATTGTTGTCAGAATATTGAGAAAAAAGTGACTTTTTTTCTCAGAATTAAAGTCAGAACTCTTGTTTTTTTAGTTGCCCTAATCCACTTCCACACATTGGGATTTTTGTCTCCTTGCTGACAAAATGTCTAGATACAGTGTAGGATGACAGAATAACAAGCAATACTACATCGATCCAGGTTCGCTCCCATTTTTATCGTATACTGTACATTAAAAAAAAAAAAAATCAGTTCTTGTCATACATCTGTGCAAAGATCCCCATTTCCCATGAATGCCACCAACAACAAAGTGCATAACTGGAAGAAGAACACTGTACGCTACACAGAACTTCACTACTCACATACTGCAGGTCACCAAAAGCACAGGACAGTAATGGGAGGGCAGTAAATATCAACATCCAATGGAATTAGCTTAACATTACGACTCACCAACATCAGAACACAACGAGAGAGCAACCATGAAATGTACAACGAGCAACGACAGTATGCATGCAAAAATATGCATTTATATCAACATCATACCATACAGGGAAACCGAAACAACAGGTCATGACCGTTAATATTATATTCACAATTAATATATTACACTTCTGTTCGGAGATACTTAAAGGAAAGCATACCTGTGTAACTATAGGCTTATCATTTGCATTATTGCATTCAGCCTTTTTTTTTTTGCAAAGAACACCAAGTTTATGTGAAATGTGTGCTTTGTTCCACTGAACAGTTCTTTTATTTTATTTTTTTAAGAACAGTAACATTATTATACACTGTAATAAAGCTGCTGTTTGGTAACTATGGCATCATGTAGAATGTGGTCATCAGTAGTGTAAACTATATTTAATATGGATTTACTGGGTTGAAACTTGCAAAACCAACAACACTTTAATGATAAAACAATAATAGCGTCACCCACCCCAAATGAGTGGAAGTGACACCCAAACGAGTGTCGAATTAAAACGTCCAGCATAAAGTCCAGACAGACCGGTGTTGGACCGTCCCGCCGCCTAACCGAGACCTTGGTCTTGACTTTCTGTGTGCCTGCGGTTCGTGCGCTTCCGCTGCTGCTGCTGCTGTTTGGGGTTGACTTGGTCCCAGTAGGACTGGCAGTACTGGTTAATCAGTCTGATCTCAGGTGGGAAAGGCGTGGAGGCGACGGACGACTGAGGGTACGCCCCTGCTTGGCGGGTTTTTGGCTCCTCGTCCTCGTCCTGAGCGGTCAGCGCCAAAACGATGTCCCGATCCAGGATGCGCAAAGCCACGCGGGCCACGGTGTGCTTGAAGTTGTTCTCGGTGGCGAGGCAGTGGTAGAGCCCCGCATCTGATTGGTTGAGAAACTTCAGGAGGATTCCCTGGTTGGTCTTCAGAACTCCTCCAACACGATTCAGCTACAGGTTAAAGAATGAGCAACAAGTTTAGATTTCTATCCTTCTAATAACTAAGAACTAACAATTGATGCAACAAAGCACCAGCAGCGCAGTGAGCGTGCTCAGTGTTTTGGCAACCACCATAAAAAAAGAAGAAGAAGTGTTTGCAGTAACCATGGATGCTAACAGTGCAGCATATCTGACAATTTTAAAGTTGCTGTCCAACTGGAGTCAGCAGATTAACAACTTAATCCTTATTACAGCCTCCCATGGTTGTTGTTTTACTTCCCGCTTTCGCGTAATGCGACACAGAATAGTGACATTTGTCGAGTATCAATGACGTTCTTTCGGCTAAACGCGACCTGACCGTTAAGATTCAGGTCATATTTGGAAAGAGCAACCAGGTCGCATTCGAAAAAACAAACCAAAAAAATCTTCTGTTGTTCAGACGGTCATGTAAAGATTAGATACAGGTCGTATTACAAAAAATCGGGTTTGCATGTCAAACATTTTTTCTTTTGTTTTTTTTAATTCTTTGACAACCATTAGCAATTTCAGTGAGTCACATGAAACCCAAATCAATAGAAAGGAGCTGCAGCATAACTGAACCGGGAAGTTAAAATCTGTAGCTGGAGGGTTTTTCTTTTCTCACAACAGTAAGTGGTTGGAATAAGTACAATTTGTACAGTATAAAATAGTAAAATGTTGTATCATTATTTTTGGGGAACAGCGGTTATTCTTGTCAACATTGGTAACAGGGTTTTATGCAAGAACACAAGATAGGAGGTTCAGACTTGAATTACTGAATTGAGACTTCAGCCAAACTTCAACCTCTATATTTTTATTTGTCTTTTCTTATTAAAGTTGCAATGAACAAATTTTACTTCCTCACCACTTTCCTCTTTCCCTCCCTCTGGTAAAGCCACTTGACTGTGGCCTGAGGGGAGCGAGGCTGACACTCCAAGAAGGTGCTGCTGCCCTCCACCCCAAACTGCACCGTCTCTCTCAAACGTTTCTCCACTGCACAAGTAAACAGAAAACAAAACTGCTTAAAATAAAAACAACAAAATATTCATGATATTTAACAATTAAAACCTCCATCTTACCTTTGGCATTAAAGCCCCTGCACTGTCTCAGTGGATCACCGTGCTTTACATCCTGTCTTCTGCTCCTCCTAAAACAAGTATTAGAGTTTAAGGATTCATTCACACCAGTCCTTTTCAGTCCACTTTACTCAAACGCTCGTTTGTTTGGGGAAGTGTTGTAATCAAACTGATTCAGATCAAAAAAGTTAACTGGTCCACCTACAAACCTAAATATCAGTTCTGTGGAAGTGAACTCCAAGTATATATAAACGCCAAGTGGACCGGAGGCCACTCCAGAAGCAGGAAGCGGGGTATAGCGCAGGGGATTCTGGGTAATACAACTTAAACACAAGCTGGGAGTCTATGGCGAGTGGGAGAAATAACTCGTCTTATACATAAACCAAAGCCAAACCGCTAAAATCTAACGTCACTCCATTTTCTTTACATTTCGTCAAGAAAGAAGTTCAACTCTTGTCTTCGTCTGAGTTTTTTTGTCTTGTTCCCTTCAGTGGTTCTTGGTGTGGCGCCACCACAGGTGAGGAGAGGGAAGAGTTGGAGGTGCTGCAAAAACACCAAATTTCACCAAGTACTTCTGGTCTAGTTTCTAGTGCAACTATTTTAGTAAACTTGAAATAAGACAAAACTACCTTACAGTTATTTCTTTTTTTAGCAATACCTAGAGACTGTTTTAAGTAAATAATTCCTTAGAATTGATGAAAAAGCACTTGGTCCATTGGCAGATTATTTAACTTATAACAAGGTATATTTCCCATGTTATAAGTTAATTTACCTGCCAAAAGAGCAACTCCATTTCTATCAATATTAAGTATTATTTACTGAAAACCAGCTAGTTTGTCTTATTTCAAGTGTGCAAAGATATTTGCTAAGGAACTAGACCAGAAGTAATTTTGTGTTTTTGAAGTGGGGAACAGGTTTTTCAAAGAGTTTGGTTCTTTTGACCCAGTGCCGTGTGAAAGTGAATCGCACGGCACTGGGAAATGTAACAAATGTCGTGACTTTGCTCCCCAGTGGAGCCGAGTCTCTCAGACTGTCAGGTGTGCTTCAGTAAACCCAACAGAACTGCACAGTGATAATACGAGGTGAGCGAAACCTTTTGGTAGAAGGGGTGAAGGCGGAGCAGCTCTCTCCATCCCAAGCGCAGTAGGGGTCCCGGGCCAGGCAGCAGTCGGAGCAGGCCCTGCCGTACACGCCGCAGCGGTGCAGTGACACCTGCGTCAGCCCCGCGTCCGATGACACGTACAGCTGTTGCTGAAGCAACACAAACAAAAACGAGGTCTACTCAAAAAGGCAGTAGATGGATGTAAACAAAGGTCGTAGTGAAAGTATTCATACCTTCTGAACATTTTAATATATAGAGCAAAACATTTTTGACACATCTCAACAGCAAACCTCAATGTCTCAATGTCACAAATGTGGTTATATAATTTTTTTTTAAAAAACATTATATAATGGCTCCGATTTTATGTTTACGGTTGTTATCTTGATGGAAAGAAAAGTCTCTGCTCCAGTCCATTGAAAACCAAGCTGGTTTTCTTCCAGGATAGTTCTTCATTTAGTTACTTGTCATTAACTCTAACCAGATTTTTTGTCTCTGAAGAATCCCCACAGCCTCATGCTGCCACCACCATGTGTTACCAAGAAGAGCGCGTTTTCAAAGACTGTAACAACGTCTGGGAAATTCAAGCGGTACAAATACTTTTGTGAGAACCTGCAGTGTCTCCAGTATGAAGAATAAAAAAAAGCTTACTCTTTTTGAAGAAATCTTCATTGTTTTAACAGGAACTCTGGTCTGAAATTTAATGAAGAAAAATACATAAACTTCTGTGGTTACTGTCATTGAATGAACACAGAGATGAAACGGAGACATACCCGAAAAACCTCAACCTCTTCTAGAGTCAGTTCCTCCATGGTTGTTGGGTCTTTGGGTAAAACGATGACTTTTTGCACTGTGCCTCGGTCTAAAAGCGACATTAATATTATTGAATATTAACATTTCTCAATGAAAATGTATTACAACCGTCTGTCCTACTGCTATTTCACCTGTGCCTAGAAATAGGACCTCATAGCGCCCATCCACTGCGTCCACCTGGTCAACCACAAGGGCCGTGTACCGGTAGTCCACGCCGGTTTTCACCACCAGGGGGCGGCGGTGGATGGGATACACTGAATGAAACATGAGGGGATGTGAGCGGATGAAATTCACAGCTTCATCCGAGAAGTTCTTGGACGACTGGATGCCTGGAGTGAAGGTTCCTCCTGGACACTGGATGCAAGAGGGAGGAAAGAAGGTTTGATTACACCAGAATCATGTTGAATATGTACAAAAACACTTACAGCATGAAACATAATTACAAAACTTGTATTTTAAATATCCAAGAGAAAGGATGGAAGTGCAAACTTATCAATACTTCTCCTCCTTAAATGTTACATTTATTACATATACATTATACTTTTACTTAACTTGTATTTAATACTTAACCCATTTTAATTACAGTGGATGATAAAACAAAGGTAGGGTTAAAAACAACACCAACATCAATAATCGACTAATAATGTTATATTACTAGAAAACATGCTAAGTCATTCATCCAGCGGCCCGTCATGTTTTTGAGTTCAAAAATGTTTAAAATTGACAAGAAATTTGAAAATATCACTTCAAATAATTATATTTTATTAAAAGATTGGACAATCAATACCTGAGCACCAACTATGAAGTCTTGAAAAATGCAAACATTAAAAAAAAAACTGCTTCAATACATAAGCAGTGCTTAGCCAGTTGGGGGCAAAAGTAAAGCCTGGTGGCCAGTCAGGCTTATAATACACTGGGGGAAACCCTGACATAGTGCATCCAGTAATAATCATAAGTTTAAATGATAATTTGGACACTTTAAAATTGAACAATGTTCAAATTTGACTCCACTTATTGATATACAAACATTCTAGATCTGAATTTTAAATTCAGAAAATTTAATTCTCCCCTTAACTGATAAATTTCCCCCTTAGACAAATTTTGAATGTTTTTTGGTAAATATTTTGGGTTTGTAAAGAATTAAAGCTGTCAATAGTTTTACTTTGTCAATGAATTTTAATAATCTACTTTTGACAAATAGTGTGTTAGTGTTTTTGAAGTATGACACTAGTGTGTTTGTGTCATACTTCCATAAGGTTGATTGACCTTATGGATCAATCAACCAATAAATTATGTGTATAGAAAATTTCAGGCATTTCAAAGTGCTTTACATCATAAAAACGCAAAAATACAAAGTCATAGAACACACAGTTCAATTATTACACATCAAGTTATTAATTGATATTTCATTGATTATGTTTCAACCGCAACTCTAAGTCAGTGGGTTTTTAGGCTAGATTTAGAGGCACTCAATATTTTGGCAATTATCTGGAAGTTTGTTCCAGATTTGTGGTGCATAGAAACTTAATTGCTTTTGCTCCTCCTTGTCGTATTTCTCTGTGAAGAAAATGAGAGTGAAACTTACTGTTCCAGGCCGTGGATAGGGAATCTTCCCAGTGTATTCTGTCCACTGGTAGTTGTGGCCGTGCTTGTGGGCAAACGGCCCATTGAAGACGTTGCGGACGTCAGCCATCGAGTATACGCAAACTGCTGAGCCCTTAAACACAGAGCTTCAGCAAAAACAAACAACCTTATTAAAAGAAAGGTGCCAAACCCAACCCATGAAATTAGAGAATAAATTAGCCACAAAAATGTGTTGATAAAACAAAGAAATTACTATGAATTTGTGAACCTGGATTCCAGAAAATGACTCACCCGGCTGTGGTGAACAGAGCGTACACCATGGGGTTTCTTTCATCCTGTGTTGGTTGAATGAACACGTCTCCTGGAAAAACAATGACATGCATTTCATTAAGATCACAGTCAAACAGATGCCGCTGACACAGATTGGAGACCATTTTCTCTTACGTAGTTCATCAAACGACGTCTCGACTCCGTCGTCTCCTATAACTGAGCAGACAAGACGCGCCTTCAGGAATGTCGTCCAGCGGTTCACCAGGGATTTCTGTCCACCTTCATCATTCTGCCAGATAAATATAAAGACATGGCGAAAGGTGACATAGTATGCAGGTTAGAATAGGCTTTACAAAACATGTTCATTACATTTTTTGTACAAAATCAATCTTAGATAATGAGATTTTAATGCTCCTTTCCGAATGAGCTGTTTTTATGGCCTCTTGTCACTTTAAATTTTAATAAGCTGCTGGCCACCCCACCCAACTCTATGTTTACACTTGCATGTGAAAATGGCTTCAAACAGATACGCAATAATACAACAGTACATGTTTGAAAAGCGGAAGTGGAGCCTTCTGCACAACCAACAATAAAGCGCTTTATTGTTTTTTGGCTGCTCGTCTTTTCCAGCAGCCATTGTACAGCGCATACAGCTTCAACAATCAAGACGTTTTGAAACAACACAAAAAAGCCCATCAACTTATAGCCACAAAATGTTTAGGTGGTTGATTTAAATGCTTGGACTGTTTTTAAAAGCAGGCGAGACCCAAATAGAAGTACAATCATATGCAAAATGTTAATTTTGTATATTACTGGTAGTTCATTTTGCCCTTTAGACTCCAAATTACATCAATATGTTCTTCCAGTTTTTCACAAATCTGGAAATTCACTCAAAATCAACAAATCTCCACATTATTTTGTGATTTTACTGCTAATTTCTTATCAAAATCGATCAAAAACATTGAGTTTAGGCGACTGCTGCCTCAGCCTTACTTGAGGTTAAGTTGTACTCCTCAATTGATACGCCGAGTAATAAAAAGTCACATTTAACATCATACGTTAGAGCAAATATAAAAATTCCTTTCTAAATACCTATAATTTGATTGCAAAAAAAAATAAATAAAACAATCACAAAATCTTGGCGGAACAGCTACTTAACAGAACTTTGTTGGTAGAGGTGGATTGTTTTGATCAAGACCTTAATATTCACGCTCTATTTGCTCAGGAAGTGACTTTTAAAGATCGTTATTATAAAAGAAACATTGAAAACTTCTACATCACATTTATGCATTACTGGATGTCCCTCCAGCAAATAAAACACCAGAGATTTGTGGTTGTAGAATGAAAAGATGTGAAAATGTTCATGGAGTCATTTGGTTGGTCGCGTGGTTCTGCTTACCAGACACACTCTCCCCACCCGGGCTAAAACCGTGGGGCTCGCCCCACCACTGGTGTCTAGACTCTTCTCCCGGAAAAAGAAGTAAAGCTTGTCATCATTCTTTTCTGCACTGTCAGGGATCTGCTGGATCTGGATAAACACCGGCTCTGGAGGATAAAAGCAGAAAGAGGATTGAAACGAGTGGTTGTCAAAATGAAATGAGAGGATCTAGACCGTGTAATCATTGGCGTTTTACTTCTTCATACCCACACTTACTCACCGTTGAGCCACCTGGAATCATACTGCTCCGTCCTGATTGCTGTCCTCCCTCCCATGGTCCTAAATAAAGCAGCGTCTGTGCTCATAAAGTCAATATGTACACCTGCGTACAGGTTTCCGTCTGTAGAGACACAGAAAGATTCCACCATTTACTGACCAGCTTGGGTGCGTTTTTTTTTTTTGCGTCTAACGCAGCCCGAAGTGACACAATTTTGTTTTGAGTTTTTTGACGTATCTGAACTGTATCTGATCTTTTCATGACAATCTGAACAACACAGCTTGGATTTTTTTCAAGTGCGACCGAGGCCGCTTAGATATCCGATACGCATCCGATTCGAACGTGACCTAACGGCCAGGTCACATCCATCCGACCTGAACGTCACTGACGCTCGACAAACGTCACTACTCTGCGCCCCGATGCACCCAAGCGGGAGGTAAAACAACAACCATGAAGGATTATAACGAGGATTAAGTAGTTAATGTGCTTCTCCGGTCAGACAACAACTTTAAAATCATAAGATATGTCAAAAAAATCTGTTTTGATAAATAAAAATCGTAATTGGGTCACGTCAGGCTGCAGTGTGATTTTCAGGCATTTTTCTTACTGATCAAAACTGCAACATTCTCCTGCTTGGGATCGTAGGAACATTTTCCCTTCCCTGAATCCATATAACCAGACACCAGTCTAAACAGGTAGTCCTGCAGAGGCAGATCAGAGAGAGAGTGTGCATAAAAATAGAGCATAAGGAAAATCATAAACAAATCAGTGTCCCAGTTTGCCGTCCTGAAATATTTAGCAGGACAAAGCTCTCCAGGTCTGCGCTGCTTGGGGCGTTTTGCTGTAAATCCCACTTGGGGATCTGTAAACGCCGTGTTCACCTCTGCCCTCCAGCCTCGGTTGATGAATGTGCAGATGGGTTGGTACGCCCCTGTGCCGCAGGTGTAGAGGTGGGTGCGGTTCCACGGCTCAATCAACCTCACAAAGTTGGCACATTCGCCCTGGACGAAGAGGAGCAAGATAAATGGAATTCCAACAATGCTGCAGCATCTGGAAAGAAGGATTAATTTTTATATGAGCACAAGATCCCACCTGTCTACCCTTTCCTGTCATCTGGCATTCTCCCTTTCTCTTTGCAGATGCTGGCCAGTGGATCTGCATTAAAGAAAAAAAAAAAAAAACACCACAAATTGGGATCAGTGCACCACTCAGAGATTTAGGACCACATGGCAAATAGCAGAGTGGATTTGAGAAGAGAGCTTGAACGCACTATAAGCGGTTCTTTGTTGACATTGTGCATGTCCAGAGCAACCAGGTACTCCCGACTGCCCAGGTAGAGGCGGCCCTGGTCCTGATCCATGAGGAGGATTCTGTAGTCGCTGGTGTTGAAGGAAAAACTGAAGGGTCGCGCTGCTTTTGTGTCCATGAGTTCTGTGTGGAAAATGTTACAGTAATGTTTAAAAAAAAAAGGACTTGGGCTGGAGGCAGAGCACTCATGCTATTCCCCTTATGCCTCTAACATATTTTCATTACCAACTTGGATGAACTTATGGTCCCTGAAACAACACACTCAAATTTTTTTTTATTTTTGGAAAATGTGTGTCACTTATTAAATATGACTCAACATTGAGCGTTTTGAAAAAGCATATTCGCTTTTAAGATCTCAATATTTTATGTGCTCTGGTGTCTGATTGGGTTTACAGCAGTGCACGCCTTGTGGAGTTGGAGGAAAAACCGTGTGGCTCCCTTAGGAAACATGGTCAGTTGAACTCGCAGCTAATTCTTAAGATCAGGTCTGTGTTCAGCAGAGCGTAACCTGTTAAGACTTGCAGCAGTGGAAAGTGTTTCTCTCTCTCTTTTTTTTTTTTTTTTTGTTCTCCTAAAAGCTCTGATTGAACTTTTAAAGGGAGACGATTATGCAAAACTTCATTTTTTGTGCCTCCATTTGGATCTCTTCTGGTTCCAGAAAGAACTGAGGGCTAAATTTAAAAACAAAACAAAAAAAATCAAACATTTTCTGGAAATAAGTTCATGAGTTTTGGTGTATAGAAAATTAGTCGCTTCAAAATCCTGAGTCACAATCTGCGAGCGCTGCCCCGTTGCCCAGCAACCCCAACTGACCCCGTTGCCCAGCAACCCCAACTGACCTCGTTGCCCAGCAACCCCAACTGACCCTGTTGCCCAGCAACCCCAACTGATGGACTCATGCAGAGTTTTTATGCAAAACTTCATTTTTTTGCACATTTCAATGCTTCCGTTTGGGTCTCTACTGGTTCAAGAAACGCTAAATAAAAAATAAATAAATTAAAAAATCTGAAGTTATAATCTGCAAGCACTGTCTCGTTGCCTAGCAACCCCAACCGATCCCAGTCCCTCACCTAGCAACTGGTCAATTGATTTTATTGCCATGTTGTTTATTTATTTATTATTTATTAATGCACAGCTACTCTTCTTGATGTCCATTATTAAAACGCACATCAGACAGTAGAAATCATTCAAACACAGCAATGAAAATGAATTACAGTTTATACAAAATGTTGATGAATTAAACAACCCAGTTACAGGCACTCTGCTCCCAAAGCGCCTTTCAGGTACTTTTTAAAAACTTTCTTCTGTTTGGCTTCAATTATAGTTGGTACAATGGCTGTTGGCAAAGACAAGTGGCCAGCAACAGCTTATTTGCATAAAAGTAGAAGAACTCCAAAATGGCTCATTCTGAAAGCAGTTCAAAACAGGACCCATTGTGGTCCGTTGTTAAAACGCACATTATGCAGTAGAAATCATTCAAATGTAACATAACCAGCAATGAAAATGTATTACAATTTATACAAAATGTTGATCATTTCATATTATATACAATAATTAAACTATTATAATAGGTAAATTGCTCCTGGAAGGGTTTTCAGCAACTTTTTTAAAACTTTCTTCTGTTTGGTTCTCATTATAGTTGGTACAATGGCTGTTGGAAAAGATACATATTTTGAGGTTAGATGATGGACGTATGGCCAGCAAAAAATAATTTTCATAAAAGTGACAGGAGCCTTTCTGAAAGCATTTCAAAATAGACAGAACTGACAGAAAATCTCATCCTCAGAATGATTTTGTGCCAAAACTGCAATGAACATGTTTTGTATAGACCATAAAACTAACTTGTCTGAAAGAAAACAGAATAGGTTTCCTTTAACAACTCCCTAATTCACTGCAAGAGATTAAAGTCATGGAAAGCACCCCAACACACACCCACACACACATTTGTGGTATGTCTGAAATATTGGCCACCATATGTGCTCCCTCTGACACGACGGAGGCGTGTTAAAGACAGCAGGCTTAAACAATGACAAATGTTCTCAGAGACCCTCAGAAGCAGGCTTACAGGGACTCAAGAGGAAGCGCAATCTTTATTTACATCAAAGAGCCTGCCATCTTCCTTTTGAGGCCCGCGTTAACAGGATGCAGTGGAGGTGCCACTAAAATAAGCCTCGCAGTCGGATCTCCGGTCGAAGCGGGACGGAGTCTCAGAGTCCGGCTCCGTTCCCACAGGATAACAAGTCCCAATGGCCGAGCTCCAACACGGTCATGGTGGATTCACCGAACGGGCTAAATGCAGCAACGCCGCACCCCTGTACTCGTCTCTGTTCGCCAAAAATAGCAAACAATGTCCTGCCATCATCTGGTAAACATTCAGCAAACACTTATCGTCTGACAACATTCTGACATCGATAGGGGAAACACTGGGAAGGACATACTGGGAAGTCCAGTATGGGGCCTACTATGAACGCTCAGGTTACCGCGTATTGTCACTGAGTCACTATAATAACCAGAACCACTTAGTCCCAGACCCATCTCCTGTATGAACCGCCTGGTGACAGCACAGCGAGGGTACGAGAGTCTAAAACATGGCTCACGTTACACAGCTTTCACATTCTGCTTTCGAGCAACGCAGAACCAACAAATCAAGAGAGCTTCAGTTAATTCCTTTGAAATCTCCTTAATTGACCCAACTTCCTGAAAATCAACATGAAGTCCTTGTCCTCTACAGACCACATGTGGCCTCAGAGTGTCACTCAGTCCGGCACGCTCGCTCAGAAGAGTCACATGCCCCGAAACCTCCTCCACAGGCGCCTGGAGGAACAAAGGGGCTCGCTGTCACAAACAATGAACAATGAATCCTGGGAGTAGCAGAAAACAGTTGGGGACTAAATCCTAACCTCTCTGGGTTTTGCCCTGTTCTAGGGGGAAGGGTCCGCTTTATGACTAAAACCTGAGAGTCGATCTAAAACCTTTAACAAGCGGCTGACTGTGAGAGCTCAGTGCACACAGAATCTGCAAAGTCATTTCTCAACCCAAATGTAGGACAGACCAAGCAAATATTGGGTCAAACGTTGCGACTCAATGTGTTAAGTAAGAGAAGTCAAGTCAAGACAAGCTTATTTGTATAGCACATTTCAGCAACAAGGAAGTTCAAAGTGCTTTACGTCATAAAAACATAATGCCAATTATAAAACCAGCAATAAATATTAGATTTTGTCAAATCCTGTCAACAAAATCGTCAGAGGTGAGTAAACTATCCAAAAGTTTTAATCAAGTGATAGAAGCACTTCTTTAAGATATTTGTACTCAAGTAACCATCCAAGAAATGACTCAAGAGTCAAAAGTATTTGGTGAAAATGAAACCCAACTGATCAAATTATCAATATTTCATATTTAAAAATAACATAATCAGGCAGACCAAAATATGAAATAATGTGGAAATGTTGGTGTTTTTAAGAACAAAATGATTTTTGTAAATAAAATAATTACAAAATAGCAAAAATCAGGCCAAATAAACATGTTTCCAAATCAGTTTCTTTCAATATAAAAGTACAGAATCTTTCACTAAAACTGCAATTTCAGTTAAAACAAACGTGTTCTTCATTCACTTTAGTAGAATATCGAGAAATTTTACTAAAGTAAGAGACCAGATCATTATTTAAAAGATTCCACTTTCGTACAGAAACCTGATCAGATTTAGCCTATCCTCTTCCAGTAGTTTAAATAAAAGAAATGGTGGAGAGGTTTCATGAATTGTAATTAATTATTATTATTATTATTATTTTATCTCAGACATGAAAAAAACACACTAAATAATTGCTTCTAATTCAAGTAAACTCCTAACAAGGTATACAAAATAAAATAATCATAACACTGAGAAAATTGAAATAAGTTATCTGTGACCAAAAATACACACTACACATTATGCCATCATGTGATTCCCTCTGTTTAGAAAATTTGAACCAGGAAAATGACTTTAAAAATTGCAAGCTAGGATGGTTTATGACAACTGAGGCAGAGATATCTTAAATTAAAACGTCTAGTCATAAAACAATTTGAGATATTTGGAATGTAAGGCTGGCAAAACCGAATTTATGTTAAAACGGCTTGCCATAGGGCGACGCTAATGGCGATCTGAGAACGTATGTTGATGACTGGGCGGAACAAACCTTTGTCACAAAGTTATTTATGCTGAGTAATAGAATTAATGTCATTGGGTTGGTTTGTGGTAATAGGAACTTGTACAGTCTAAGTCAAAGGACTCTGAACCAATCGCAAAGTGACTGAAAGGGACGGAGTTCAAACCCACTACAGCGTGAGTACCTTCTGCTCCACTGTTCAAATAATTAGTGTTTTTTTTCTTGCTAATTAGCTAGCTGAGCCTAGTCTTAGCTACGTTCAACATTTTGACCAACAAATGAGTCACAAAGTCAAAATTGATTACTTTTTTAAACCAATGGTGTCCAAACTTTTTCCCAGTCAGGCTGAAATCACTGGTGGGCAAACAACAAAAAATGTTACTGAAAATGCAAACATAACTGAACTGTCTTTTTAATTTTTTTTATTTTTATTTTTACCTGCTCAGCAACAAGCTGAACATTCAATGTTTTAAAAAACAAAGATAAATTTGTTTCTTGTTTTGGATCTGTAAATCTTTAAGACATTTTATATTTGAAAGAAGCAACTAAAAGGCTAAAAGGTTATGTCTTTTGCTAAAAATGTGACAAGTATTTGGGTTTGTTGCCCTCAAAATGTGCACAGATATTTTGAGAGACAGATGCTCAAGCGGATTTTGTAAATCTCACTTCCAATTTACATACTCTTACAAGAAAATAAATATTTTTGTTATCTTTTATTAACAAACATATTGTCCAAATGAAACCGATCACAATCAAATAACTATGTAAACTTCAGTTTCTCTAAAAATTTTTTAGATATCAATTATGACTTAAAAGAAATTTTACTTGGTAATTTAACACCTTCAAATTGGGTCTTTGCCTCTTTCAAAATTTCTGCTGTTTCTGAAACTCCGCTTTCAGGAAGTCATCTCAACATCACTCCTCTTTTAACTCTTTCACAAAGTTTTACCAGCGTTGCACTGAGATATGCCGTTCCACCTGGTGTTTGCTAATTGCTTCTGGCTAGTCTGAAGGAGATGAGTGTGGCAGGTGTGGAGAAGGGCTGCTCTGTAAGGCAGAAGCTGGGAAGCTGTGACTCAGAGGAGGAGCTGCGTCTCGAAGGTGGCAGAAACTATAAGATTACTACACATACAATTTTTAATTACTTGATTTCCCTGGAGAATAATAATGTATTTTTAATTGTAATTTTCTCTATAAAGTTGTGCTGTTCTGCACAAAAATCACTTTAATACTAAATTAATGCAGGAGTTCATCCTATATTTTGACTTGAATCAAATGTTATAGTTGTAGTTTACAAAGCCAGTATTTGGGATAATTGAATCTTTTCTGTTTTAAATTTTGTTATATGTACAATAGACCTCCAAAAGTTTGGAGTTATGTTGCACAGAAAAAATAAGGAAACAGCGAATAGGGATCCATTGTACTGTGGAGCCATGGTGGTTTATTACTATTCCTGTTACAATAACAAATTATTACAGTACACAATAATATTGACTATTTTCAACTAACATAATAGTAATGGCTTAATAATGCAAGAACACATTCTGAAAGTTCAATAAACATTAAAATCAAATGAACATTTAATACTAGAACTGTAAAACATTTTAAATATCCAAAATAAATAAACAAAACAACAGACAAAATTAGTAAAATTAATCATAAAGTCTCTGCAAACAAAACCGTTCTTCAAAAAAATGGCTAGCAGAGACCAAAGCACCAGACTGAAGACTTTTATTACTCAGAAAGAGAAAAAGGAAAAAAAGAACAACAAATTATTCAAATGGAAATTATTCAGCTTGTTTTAATTTATCATGTGATTCATTGGTTTATTGCCTGTTGCAACAGGCCTGGTTATTACACCATGAACATCTTTTACTGCCATTTGCTTATGTTAGTATAAATTAAAAGGTTTCCCTATTTGTATTATAAGCCTGGCGGGCTACCAGGCTTTACTTGTGCCCCACCAGGCTAAGAATTGCTTCTTTAATTAAGTTTTTTTTATTTTGGCATTTTTAAAGACTTTATTGTTGGTGTATCTTTCAACAACAAATAATTATTAAGTGATATTTTCAGATTTCCAGTCAAGTTTAACTTTAACTCAAGAACACGACAAGCCACTGGATGAATGACTGTCCTGGCACCCAACCGCCAGACTTAAGTTTTCTGGAGGAAACCTTGCATTACGGGTTGAACCTCAAACCCAATATTCTGGGTCAAACTCCCTGTGGCGTTGAATCAAAACACACTGATGTTGTCTGATAAGTCCCAGAGTTGGGTTAGAAAAATCCGACCCAAATTGAGTTGCTTTTAACGCTTCAGTTTTGGAGTTTACATGAGTCTGAGAAGGAGCAAATTCAAGACCAAACTTGTGCGATTGATCCATCAACTACTGTGCGCACCGAGCTCCAAAAACACCCTGCTAAGCTATTTACCGGGAGAGGGATTAGTGTGAAAGGTCACATAAAAAAGCAAGGCCATTACTCTCTCAGGGCTAGGATGGGTCTGTCTCTGCAGCTATCCGCAGCATGTGGACAGCTGTTGTCAGAGTTACAAAATCAGAAGAATGCACAGCAGCCTTGCACGTACACCACCAGTGTTTCTGTCAACCACAGATCTCATGATTACCCCTGATCTGCCTCTGATTGCTTTTTAAAATGTAAATCATACATTTTTATCACTGAATCTCTGCACTTCTACAAGATAAGACACTGTCTAGACCTTATTTTGAAACCAGAGCCTCCTGAATCAGCTGTACATCAAAGTACTCAAGAATGTTATAAATCTGATCCACACCTCTCATTTTCGTGTCCATGCGGTGTCGGGCATGTGTTCTTACACGTGGAGCCCTTCCTGCAACTTGATGTGACACCATGACAGGGAGGCAGAAATAACAGTAATCATCTGGCATTGTTTTGATCAAAGGTGTCGTCCACATATTTGTTAGAAAAAATCTCTGCCATCAAGAGTTAATGAGCGCAGGTGAGCCGAGAACAAGGGGAAAATCCCAAATACCTGCACACAAAAAAAAAGGCTTAAAAAAAATGATTCTCCCCGTCTCAGCTTTAATTATCCATCATTGAACAGGTTAGGATAGGACTCTGTGCTACAGAAAACCCATTTACACAAAATCATTCTCAAATACTGATATTTTAGTTTGCTCAGTTCTGCCTATTTTGAGCAGAATTAGGGCGTGTTGTCACTTTAAATCCCAATAACGTGCTCCGGGCCACAGCCCCAAACTTAATGTTTACACTTAAACATAAAAAACGCTGCAAACAGATACAATTATATATCTGTACATGTTTGAAAAGCATTAGTAGAGGATCCTGCACAATCAACAAGTCTGAAAATGGTTTGTGGATGGTAGTCAACAACAAAATACTTGTCTTTTCCAGCAGCCATTGTACAGAAAAACCAGCTGACCAAATGTCCTGGTGTTCCGCTTGGGTTGCTAGGTAACGGAATAGGCTTGATTGGGGTTGCTATGTAACAGCGCAGCTCTCGTCACATGGGAGATAATAACCAGACACCAAAAAAACATTAACTTATTGCCAAAAAAAACGTCAGTGTGACTTTTTTGAAGCGAAATGGAAGTACAAAAATGCACAAAATGTGAAATTTTCACAATACGTCCCCTTTAACGGATACATTTCACTCCTGTGATCAAGTTTCAGGCGTTTTCCTCTTTTGTGACCCGACATCGCAACAAAGAAGAGCCCAACAGGTCACATCATAGTGCGTGAGCGTTTCAGGGTGTGGGGAGAAACTCTGGCGAAGGGCACAACGTGTAACCAGCCACACGTAACATCCACCTTTTGTTTTCAGCGCCCCGCTGTTTGACATGCGGCAGGAAATACGCTCTTTACATATTCATAAAACGGAAGCAAAACCTCTGGTGTGAACAAGTTTGCGAGTCTTCCAGGGATTTAACCGGACAAGAACCAAACAAATAAACCTTTATAAAAATTTTTTTTAAAAACCTGCAGGCAGAGGAGTTTACTTCATATGTATGAGCTCACCTTTGAAGGAGAGGCGAACCCGCGGCGCAGACTGCTGCAGGCCCCAGCCTCTGTAAACACACAGGGCCAACAGGAGGAGCTGGGCTCCAGATGCTGTCATGGTAACAGTCATGCAGGTAGCCCACAGAGATCTAAATCTGGACAAAAGAAGAAAGAGAAATGAGTGTTATTATAGAGTGCCCCATGAGAAATGGGAGACAGAAAAAAAAAAGAGGGAAGGACGGACTCCCTCTGATGTCTCTGATCAGACGCCTGGCCTGCAGCCTCCTCAGACGAGACGCGTAGTTAGGCAGCAGAGAATAACGTCCAAATCTTCACACCTGCTCTGGAAAATATGACAGCCCTATTATTTATTTAGAGCGTAAATGTAGTGAGGTATGTGTTAGGACTGCAAAACGGAGCCCGCCAGGCCAAGAAGTATGGCAATTACGCGAGATTAAAATCACCGAGCCTTCATCTCGGACAAATTCTTCTACAAACAGCACTTAGTTCAGCACGTATTTCACTCACGTTTTACCTGCACAGAGAAGACAATGAACATGCCAATCAATGATTCCCCTCTGGCTCTCCCTCACTCTTTCTTTCAACAAAGCGCTCTCAGAAGCTGATGAGTGGAGGCCATGACAGTTCAAAGGAGCAGGTAACCCCGGCTGAAACAATCCCTGACAGTTACGGCGTGTTGTGAAACTTAGTCCAACTGTTAGACCGTAACTCAAGACATTCATTATGCATTTGCACTTTGCTGGAGAGGATCCCATATAAATTATGAATACTAAAAGCTGAGTCCATAACATCCATTAAATTGTCTCCCTTAAGGTGTGCTTTGCTTGGGTCTATAACCCATCCCCTGGGCTTCTTCTCCAACCTCATGAGATCCGCAGTCGTTTGGAAATTAGGAGGTGTTGGAAAAGAACAAATTTTTTTAAAAGGAGCGTGATTTCACAAAACATTTGGCAGCAACACGTAATCTGGAAAACATGTTCCCGAGAAACACGTTTTGAACATTCTGTCGAAACCGAAACGACTGGAACACGATGGAAAATCAGAAACAGAGGCCACGCTGGCAGCACCTTAAACAACCTTCCTGGCATCGCGGCGCGAATCTGACGCTGATTCCCTCCATCAGATGTTTTACAGCCGCAGCAAATGAAGCGCCAGTGCATCACAATCAATTAGGACATCACAGATTGAGCTGGGTAATTCAATTTAAAATGTGAAAATCGTACATTACATGGGTTGGTTGAGTGCAGAGCGAGATTTATTCCTGTTAATTTTATTATTGTGGCTGAGTTAGATGCAACACAGGCTATAAAAGAGTGTTTTTAAAGAAATGTTGGCTGACTGAAAGGGGATTATTTGGCATGACTAAGGCATCAGTAAGGTGTAGTGTGTTGTACATCTCTGCTGAGCTGCTATGATAGCCCAGGGTGCTTTAGTAGCCACTGTTAGCTCATCTTCATTAATGGGTTTGGTGTCTCCCATGGGGGATTTTTTATGATGTCATAATCGCTAGACTAGGTGCTAGTACTGCTTTGGCAGTGAGTCTGGTGGCTGTCCTCGTTGTTTGTGCATGTTTTCTAGTAAACTTTTTCCTTCCACTAAACATTCTACCAAAAAGAATGGATGCAGCACTTCCTGAAATTGTTTTTACCACTCTCATGTAACATTTAAGTCAAACTTTTTGAAAATTTGATCTTTTTTTTTTGTTTTGTTTTACGTTTACACAATCAAAGTTGACTGAAATAAAAATGTGAAATGTACAAGTTTATTTATGTGCAACATAAATAAACTATGTAGGTTTATTTAAGGTAATAAACCTACATAGTGAATTAGCTATTAACTGAAATAATGAATCAACTTTTTAAAGATATTTTGATTTATGGGGCTGCACCTGCACAATCACATATATAAGACAATAGATATTTTAATGAGTCATAAGTTAAAATTAATCAGATGATAGAATACCAAGCATGTGTCTATAGTTTGGTACAATTTAAACCACTTTGGTGCAAATTCACGCTCTATTTTCTTTGTCATTTTCTTCTAATTATAAATGTCTAATAGAAATCTCCTCGAGGCTCCACTGTGTGCTGGACTGACTTCGTGGTATATTTGCACAGCGGTTCTGTTGGTTTTCTGTGCTGGGTGGGAGCTGCAGGACAGATTGAAGTTCTGCTGTAATAATATATGGCCTCCCTTTAAATAATTACAGGATTTCTTTCAGCTTCTTTCATAAGCGGAGGAGCGCGCACTTACCTGTGAACTCAACATCCAGAAATAGGAACCGGGACAAATACGCGCACTCCGGCTTTCTAAAGGACCAGACTGCACCACGGAGTGACCAAACGCGAGTTAAAAGTTAAACCAGGGTTGAGTTAAATGTCCTTACCTTTGATTTCTGCGAAAACAGCCACAACTTGCGAGATGTTACCGCGGCATTCCGCGCGTTTTGCGCCTTTGGAGACCGAACTGGCAAAGAAAGAAAAAAAAAAAAGAAACAAAACAAACAAACCAAAAAAACAGCGTTTTACAGCAGCAGATCTGCGCTGTTGAAAAAATACGAAAGGTCTGATAGTTCCGTGGGAGAGAAAAAAAACCCACAATGCCGAATCAGTCGCTTTTATCCGAAGGCATTCCTCTGCGTAACAATAAAAGGAAAAGAAAGAGAAAATGGCATCAGATCCCTGAACGCTTGTCCCACAGTCTCCAAAAGTTTCTGGCCACTAAAACCACCGGTGATGTGATCGAGATGTTGGTCCACGGGTCGGAGAAGCGGACTTGAGCTGGTGACTGAATGGGACCCAAAGTGACCAGGTGCAGGTGTTGGGAGCGTGATCTGCCCCGCTGTCCTCTCCCTTCTGTTCTGCCCCCACCCAGCCTTCCCTCTCCTGTTGGCCCACAGCAGCATTGGACCAAACCTCTCAGCGCACCATATGGGTGTGATTAACCCTGTCAGTGCTGGCCGAGCACAGCCGACCCATGCCTGCCTGCATCAGGCTCCAAGCTGAAATTTAATAGCGGGCACCATTTAAATGTCGTCATGGTCGAAGCTGAAACTTTTATGATTTTTTTCCTACATATTCTTTGACACTGTAGCTATGTTGTGGCATTATATGAGGCAGATAAGGTGTGATAAACATCAAGCTCATCTGCCTTCTGCTAGCTAGAAACAACCAATCAGACACAAGAGGGGGGTCTTAGTGTTGTCAATCAAGCCTGTGTGCGGCACCTTTTCTCCACCATTTGCTCTCTGCTACAAAACATCTTTTCCTTGTTAGCAGAGGCTGCCATTAATGCTAAGGCTAGTTTGCATGGCCATCAATGTTTCTCTGCTATTATCACATTTAGCAGCATGTTCGTGAGGTTTATTGACAGTGCTACGATGCTCCTCCTGGCTCTGATATGTTAAAAAACATATTTTTTAATGAAAGTTATGTACTGCAGCTTTGAGAGCTTCAAACTATGAAACATAAATTATGATATTTTTCAAAAGATGCAAATTGCTTTACATCTCATCCCTCACAAACAATCAAACTTCATGATTTATTGGAGTTTATTTCACATCAAGAACAGGTGAAAGAAAAGTTAATTCAGTTTAATGTTGAATAATGTGAACTGTCCTAATCAAATAAGTTAATTAATCAGCTTGTAGTCCAATCAGAGATAGTTTAGATCAGGGGTGTCAAACTCATTTTTGTGTTGGGATGAATCAGGAGTATGAATGCTCTTAAAGGGCCGATTGTGATCAAACTTGCTCACAAACTGTTTAAACATCTATACATTTATTAAATTAAATAATGTTGCTGAACATTTTTTCAGTTCCTCCATACTTTCTGTGATTTTTCAAAGTGCCTGAGGTGCTAATTTGGAAATATTTGCAATATTTGCTCTTATTTATGATGATAAATGCGACTTTTTATTACTCACTGTAAAGATCATGGACTATAATCTGATATTGCTGGAAGCTGAGGCAGCTGTTCAGTAGATTTTTTAAAATAATTTTTGACAAAAATCTGCAATAAACTCCCAATTATGTATCAGCGCAAAAAAGTGCAAGGATTTTTCGATTTTTCCGTGAATTTCCACAAAACTGGAGGGATCGATTGATATAATTTGGCAGTAAACAAATTATATCAATCTATAAATTTTATCAAACCACAAAAACTGCATTTAATTTGATTGATGACATACTATTTAAGAAAATTCAATGTTTAGTTTAAGATCTGGAAGGCCACATAAAAAGCTATGGCGGGCCGGATTTGGCCCACGGGCCTCGAGTTTGACACGTGTTGTAGAGAATTTAGAGGAAGCTAGCAGCACATGATGTGACTGTTGTATACATTTCTTCTGCTAACTTCATATGAAGGACAAAAAAATGCTTCTGGTTCCAAATTTCTTTCTGTTTTGCTCAATTTATATTTGTTTGGCAACCTCCATACTGACAGTGGCGTGTGGTGGGAGGGGAGGAGAGTTTATGAGCAATCATATAAAAAGACTATTACCTACTGATCTATTTACAACCAGTTACAATGCGCATCAAAGGTTTTCTCAGCTCAGACACCAGCAGCAGAAACTCACTTTAAATCTAAAATTAAAGCTTTGAATATCTTATTTGATGCCCCATGGGAATTTGAGTTCTCTCACGGCCTGAGACAGTTTATACCTGAGACCAAAGTCTAACACGCTGCTCCAGTACTTTCCTACTGGCTGAATAATTCAGCTGCACTTTGTGATGGGAACTCACACTTTTTTACACAAATGTTGTTTTTTTCCCCCCCTCTAGCACTGTGAGAGTCACAGGCTATTCTTAACGCATCAGCAGTAGCTGAAATTTACTATTAAAGCTGGAGGAGTGGGGCCTACTACTAGGACTGTGTCACCATCGCTTTTCAGCGCCACAAGAGAGCTGGGTCAGCCCAAAAAGATTCCCGGGATTCCTCCCTGGCTGGCACAAGCACTCATGACAACAGTGACAAAGCAACCAAAACAGGAGGTGGGGGGCAGCTGGGTGTAAAAGACACCCATCCTGTTAACAGCGCCTCGAGCTTGAAACTGAAGCCGCTTCGGAGCACCTCTCATCTTTGTGGAGGGCTGTGACGCATGATGGGGGCACTGAAGACGAAAAAAGCAAACTGGGAGAGTATTCTGAGCCAGAGCGCCCTGGAAGACAGTCCAGTTAAACAAACACACGGGAAGATGTGGTGTTTGAGTGTATAAAGTTCAGCGAGGAGTGCCGACGGCGGCAGGGCTCACAAAGCTTTTGGTTATTTGCTTATCTTTTAATGATCCTGCTTAAGTTTAAACGACTTTGGCACCGGCGAAGCGTGACTGCCATGTTTAAACCTGGGTGTGAGCCAGATGATCTCCCAGCAGCTGTGCGTCAAAGTGTGACCAGGAGGGGAGTCTTTGTCTCCCGCCCTTCAGGAGGCATCCCTCTGTTTCCAGCGAAGGAAGTGAGTCACGACTGTGTGCAGAGTTTAAGTTTCCGTGTGCTGTAAACTTTGGACACGGACACCAGGACACTGACCAGCTCCCAGGGCTTTATAGGCGCCGGCTGACGTCATCTGTACCTGCATCATCAGCTGTCCTTATCGCACCGGCATGCACACCCCTCTGGAGTTGTTTAACAGGATCCCATCCTTTTTAAACTGGTTTGTTATGTTACAAACAAAAACTTAAATGCTTTTTGATTTGATGTGGTAAACTGTAAAACAAAGTCAGTAAAAAGTACAGCGATATACAAATACTGAAGAAGCAGAAAATCTTACAAAGTGTTCTTTGACTATCCCTGTATCAAGTACACTTGAAATAAGACAAAAAAAACTTCCAAGTATCTTTTCAGCAAGATATACAATAGTTGTTTTAATTCATTAACTATTTAACACAAGACTACTCTGTATAACTTACCTAATGCTAGCATCATTTATAATTAGCTTACATTGTACCTGTGTTAATAAGGCTATTCGGTTTAACCTTACAGAAGGAGCAAACTAAATAAAATATAGATTTTGAAATGCAGAGAATGATATTTAAGTGTGCTACATTATTTTAACTATTTCAAAGTAACATCAGCAGACAAACACCAAATTTACAGCAGATGAATTGACAAGTTTAATATTTTATGTTATCCTAACAGAAGCCAACATCAGGAAGAGATTAACCTCTTATTATTTTATTTAACTTCCAGGCGAATTAGTACTTCTTCATCATCAATATTAACCTGTTGATATAGAGGGCCCCAAATAAAAATCTGCTTTGGGCCCCTGATTGCATATTTTTGTTTTTAATTCTTCTCAATTTTCTGTTAATTAAGAAAAAAAGAAGAAGAAAAAAATAGAGTATTTTTAAACAAAACCAACAAGAGATAGTGCATAAAACTGAAGTAGAAGAGAAAAAAAAATCATACATAATTTTACAAAAATTAGCAAATAAAAATCTTGAAAGTACAAGACATGCAGTAATTCACCTCCGGAAGTGACTTAACCAGTCAAAAGAGTCCACCAGTGTAATGCAATCTGTTCTGTGACTGCCTCAGACATTTGTGAAATAGCGAGCAGCGTCATGACTCCCAAGAAACACAACAGACAAGTCCAAAAGAAAGTTATGGAGAACGAACTGTTTTAGGGCCTCCTGTCTCTTTAAATCCAAATAAGGTGCTGCTGGCCACGCCCCCGACACAACGGTCACTCTCAGACGTCAAAATGGCTGATGAGCAATTTTATATGTGTGGAGAGGAACCGCCTCAGGCACAACCAACAAAAATGAAGCAAGTGGCTTCTGAATGGTAAGTTAATAATGAAACATTTATCTATTCCAGCAGTTTTCGTAAAGCGGGACCGACTAGCTAGCTAATAGCTAAATACGCTGGAGCTCTGCTTCGGTTGCTAGGTAACGGGCCGGGGCTTTGCTGCGGTTGCTAGGTGAGGGGCAGCGCCTGCAGGTTTGTAACGTTATATTTGAGATGTTTTCGAAACAAGTCGTTTTCAATACACCAAAAAACAAAGCTATTGACAAAAGCGTTTGGGTTGTTTTTAGAAGAAGTAGGAAGCCCAAATGGAAGCACAAAAATATGTTGAATGTGATTCATTTTCATAATTCGCTCCCTTTATGGCACAGTGACGTCATAAATGAAAACTCCCCCAAGCTTCAAACCTTTCACGGAGAACCCCTCATTGCTTAAACTGAACACATAAATGAGCACAGCTACCCACCTAAACTGGCTGGTCAGCCAGCATTCATCAGAAAAGCAGCTCAGACTGGGCCATAGAGATGCATGACTCAGATGGAAAAAATCTGACAGAGCTACTACTGGTAGTGCCTTCCTCAAATCTGGTGTTCATTAAAAAAAATGTCAAGGCGAAAGCAAGAGACAATACAAGAAATCCAGTTTCCAAGGTGCTCTGGTCAGATGAGAACACTCCATTCCATCTGAAACAAGGCAGTGGCAACGTCATGCTGTGGGGATTGTCTTCTTTCGCAGTCAGCAAATGCTCTCCATCAAATCTGAGATAAATGGGCAAAAATCTTAGCATCTAGATATATTTGAATGACATAGATACTCTAGTAAGGCACAATATTTTGTTGAATATGTCAGAGTAAAAGAAGCCCACTCTCACTAGTAGCATTGAAACAGACAGCGTGGATTTGAAAACAAAAGATCAGTCCAGAAGATCCCCACATGGACATTTATAACCTCAGGCCGACCAGAAGCTCCAGATAAATCGTATTTCCACAGACACATCAATCACTACAATTTCAGAGACATAGTATTTGTACCCTGGAGGAAAAACAACCTATTATCTGTCCTCCTGCTGATCTCTCCTGGAGTATATTGATGAACTGAAGAGTGTCTGAACATGCCTGCAACCTTGAGACATGCCCTGTCCTGGGAAACCACGGCCCTCAGAGTAAATTATATACAAC